GGTGATTTGCTAAGTACCATTACTCTCAAGGATACTGGGGCCAGATTCTCAAACGCGTTAAGGCGCTTTATCTCCTTAAGGCGCCTTAACTTACGGCCGAGTGTCTTACATACGTATAAGCAGAGCAAGGGACCCGCCATGTTGGTGCGAGTTAAGGCGCCTTAGGTGAAGGCAGGGGGAGAGCAGCCTTTAGCTCTTTCCGGCGGGCGGGAAATCAACTCTTCGCTCTTATAAAAGGGAAATACTGCAGGACGGTTAAGGCCTCCAGCGCACCTTAACTTTTAAGGCTCTTTTGAGAATCCGGGCCCCGAGCTGTTGTGGAGGAATTACCCAAAATCGCTACAAGAAAGGAACGGAGGAAAGAGGCGTGGCTCATATTCCTTACTCCAAGATTCCAACAAAGGTAAAAAAAAAAAAAAATACTGGGTCCGCTACATTCATTTCTTCAAAGATATCATGTGATCGTAAGTGACCCAGGATTTTGTACCGAAGGTCATTTCTGTTTTTGTGCTCGAACAGTCTTGGAGCTATACCTTGGGCATACAGTATTCAAATCCTCGAAAATCGGTCACATGACAATCGCATACCCTTACCCAGTTCCTACCACTTATTGCCCACCTTCTGAGCTGGAGACAGGTCAATCAGTCACAAGTGGAACCATCGTCACCCAGTTAATAATAATAAATCATTCCTTGCTAAGCTGATTTTGCATGGCTAATCCTGTAACCATTAAACTGGTAGGTGTTCAAGCTGGAGGAAGTGATTCGAACTTGAAACTGGGTGGACAGGGCCTTGGATCGAACAGCACCAAAATGTTGTAAATCGGGCTCAAATCATTATCATGAGATATTTAATTGAAGTTTATTTCTTTATTTCTAACCAAAGTTACTTGTGATGGCGTTTATCTTGAACATCAGAACTCCAGAAAAAATATTCCATTGGACTTGTGACATTAGAAAGATTCCCTAAAAAGATGAGCGTTTCTTACCACTTCCATGTTTGGTCTAACTCCTGTATTTCATGCCGTGAATTAAATAACCATCGCGACAGAGAGAGAGAGAGAGAGAGAGAGAGAGAGAGAGAGAGAGAGAGAGAGAGAGAGAGAGAGAGAGAGAAGAGAGAGAAGAGAGAGAGAGAAATTAAATAACCATCGCGACAGAGAGAGAGAGGGAGAGAGGGAGAGAGAGAGGAGAGAGAGAGGGAGAGAGAGAGGGAGAGAGAGAGGGAGAGAGAGAGAGAGAGAGAGAGAGAGAGAGAGAGAGAGAGAGAGAGAGAGAGAGAGAGAGAGAGAGAGAGAAGAGAGAGAGAGAGAAGAGAGAGAGAGAGAGAGAGAGAGAGAGAGAAAGAGAGAGAGAGAAGAGAGAATTAAATAACCATCGCGACAAGAAGAGAGAGAGAGAAGAGAGAGAGAGAGAGAGAGAGAGAGAGAGAGAGAGGAAGAGAGAGAGAGAGAGAGAGAGAGAGAGAGAGAGAGAGAGAGAAGAGAGAGAGAGAGGGAGAGGGAGAGGAGAGGAGGGAGAGAGAGAGGGAGGGAGAGAGAGAGAGAGAGAGGCACATAAGAAAAGGGGAATCCCCTACAGAAAATGAGGTACATTAGGTATTCCAATGAAACAAGTAATAGTATTTTACTTTTATTTTCTCTGTAAAAGATTATTCAAAAATAACTTTTCTCAAACGTGTAACTTTATTTCGTTTCAACTGACAGAAAAATATATATCAATAAATACATACAATATATACACAATAACTGCCATCCTATACATGACATTTACCTATATCTTTCAAATACGTTTATTCTTTGGGAAAAATACGTAATTCAAACAATAAAACTGAAAATCCAACTAAAAGACAAAGTAACCTGAATATATAAAATTGTCCCATTATAGCACAAATTTCCTTTTAGTTAGAAACGTCGTACTTCTATAACCTGGAAAAAAAACTATAGAAATATTGGCATAAACTCGTCAGAAAAAAAAAGATATTGCAATAGAATATATAAATTTTTACATGGATATACACATACTACGTAGGCACCAGCTTCTTTCTCGGACTTCTTCTAAGGCTTGTCGGGGAGTTTTCGACGGACTTGCTCCTGTCCTTAGCTGGAGGCGGAGTAGAGGCAGACGTCGAGGCCGCAGTGGACTTCGAGGGCGACTTTCTTTCGGGCACGGAGGAGACGACGCTCGAAACGGAGCTAGAGAGTCCGAGGTTGAGCTGTCTTTTCACTCGTCGTATTTTGACGGGGACGATGATCTTGCTATCTGTTGTCGATACTTCAACGGTTGACTTTCCGTTTCCTGCGGTCGCTCTTGAAAGAATCGGTCGACGTTCTCACTGGTCCGTCGGTCGTTTCTTCTGGCACGAAGTTGGATTCTTCGGAGCTCCGGTGGCTTTCGTTGATGTACCCGTTTCGCTGGCTTTAGCTGGACTTTCCGCAGACATGCAGCATCATTCTCACTTGTTTTTCTTTCCACATTTTCTCTGCTGACAGTTATTTCCTTCCTAGATTCTGGAGATAACATTCTGGAACGCTTACTGGCCGTGGTTTTCTCACTGATGGAAGTTCTGGTTCTCTTCCGTGAGATTATTTCCTCTCCATTACCGTCTGATGTGGCAAGATTTCCTTCTTTGAATACGCTCTCATCCTGGATGCTTTTGGGATCAGAATTTGATGTTTCTCCTGACGGCTGTTGGTCACTGTGCACGAGAGAGATGGCACTATTCCCGCTCACGCACGATAAACTCATTGCTGCAGATTTGGTTGGTGAGAAATTGGCAGGTCTCCTCGCCCGACGTCGTACGAAAACTTTCTGGATAGTGGACGATGATGCACTACTTGAAGGTGCAGCTGGGGCTCCGTTGCCAATTGAATTCCGAGACTGGGATTCACTACCTGATTCCTCTCGCTTCCTGGCCTGGGATTTCAGATCGTCGTGGGAACAAATCAGCATCTGTATCTGTGGCGGTGATATCACATGGCCTTTGTTGGCATTGTGTTTTGTACCTGGTGCCTGTGAATTACAAGCCGCATTCTGTTTTTTATCATCGGCTGAAGTCACGCCATTCTTCTCCAACATGCTGTGGAGATCCGGATAAATCTGAACACCTGGCTCTTTAAATTTGCTACTAGGTGACTTTTTGGGTGTCTTTCCAAGTTTCTTACACGGCGTTTTTCCTGGAGTTTTGGGAACCTTTCCAGGAGATTTGTGTGGTGTCTTTAGCATCTTGCGTGGGGTCTTACTGGTCCTGTGGGGCGACTTAGTGGGTGAGGGTTTCTTCGGTGATTTCTCTCGCTTGGACGGTGATTTCCGAGGAGTTTTTCTTGGAGATTTCTTGTTCGCATGGCTCACTATTTTACTTTGGTCTCGCTCACTCAGCTACACTTGTATTTGTTGCCTCTTGTGGGTTTCTTCAATGACTGCATCTGAGTCACTATCAGAATCTGAAGAACTTGAACTGCTACTACTGCTGCTGCTGCTACTGCTACTACTGTTACCACATTTGCTGCATTGGCAATCACTACTGTCTGAGTCTGAATCCGAGTCTGAGTCACTTGAACTGCTTGAATTGTCTTCGTGGGCATCAGTAGACTGAGCTGTGGCACTGGCCTCATCCAACACAGGTACATTGCTATACCCGCCTTCATGTGTGCTTTCCATCCCTGTAGTGTTCTCTGCTACTCGATCATTTCTTGTTTCCAAGCTGTTTTCAGTGTGGCAGTCATCGTCCTCTCCAGCCTCCGCCACCATTTCTACACTCTGGTTCAACGGGCTTTTATGACCTGACAAATTTTGGTCATCATGCTCTTGCTCCAGATCACCAATCAGTGGTGTGTCTGCAATAGTAACATTATTGTCTTTTACCAAACTTTGTTCACTGGCTTTCTCAATTGCAAGACCTCTGGGTTCGACCTGCTCTTTTGCCTTAAACTTAACCTCTACTTGATTCTTTGTGTCGTCCTTTGGATCCCCTGTTGCCTTCAAAGAGGAAGATTTACGGTCAGAAGGGGCATGTCTCTTCGTTTCAGGATCACGAATAAAATGCAGCAGTGACATCTCCGAGTCTCCACTGGTGCTGAGGCTGTCCTGGCCGTACTTCTCATGGTTCTGCTTTACTAGTATGTCAATGGTATCATCACTTCCTGAGGGAGGGCCTAACTTTTCCGGGACAGCCAAAATGGGTGTAACTTGGAAAAGATCTGATGGATAAAAAGTTGTGTCGTCCTCCATTAACGTCCTTAAGTGCCTTGCTCTCATACTCTGCCTTCTCTTTTCTGCATTTGCTTCACTGACCTGATTAACCTTCTTATCTCTTTCTGTAAACTTATCTTGCTTCTCCCAAATAAAACTATCTTTAGCCCTATCAGGCCTGTGGCATTTAGACAGAGCTGGTTCCTTACTTGGAGTTTGTTCTTCTTATCTTCTTCGGCTCTTCGATGTTTTTCTTTGGCTTCTTGTAAAGCTTTTTCATATTTCAACATCTCGCTTTTTCTTGTGGGCCTGGCATTCTTTGATTCCCATCTTGGTTCATTCCGTCGTCTTGTATCTACTTCTGATTTGGAAAAATGAGACTCCTTTGTACCTTTGTGTTTGGCCTCCCTTTGTTGCTTCACTTATTAATTCCCCTTCTTCTTCATCTTCATCTAGCTCCCCTTCTTCTTTTTCATCATCCTGGACAATGCTCTTCTTTGGAGACTCCCATAAAATTTTATGTAACAGTTTGCTATCTACTGGTACTTTGTTCGAGTCTGTTGGTCCTGTACACAATTCCTCTCTCTCTGAACTTTGGGTAGTGGATCACCATGATTTCTATCTTCTTTCATGTCATTTCTGTTCTTAATCTTTCCAATATGACTTCCCTTGTCTGGAGAATCTCCATCATCTCTCATTCGCCTATCATGCACACGCTGTCGTCTTCTGTGAGTCGGCGGTGACTCAGATTGCTGTCTCTTCCACCGTACCTCCCCACGTACACCCTCATCCAAATTTGACGGTCTCCTTTGTTGCGCTGCTGCATTTGGTAAACTTTTATTTCTCTTTGTTTCTTCCACTTCGTTCCCCTGCATCCTTTTTGCTCTCAGTCTAGAATCGCTATTTCTTGAAGTGGTGCTCCTTTCTGAATGGATCTTCTCATGATCTGCTCTCATGTGCTCGCCTTCTTTATTCCTTGGAGGCTTTCTCAATCTCTCCCTTGGTGGGCTCTCACTATCTCTACGTCTCGAAGTGTTTCTAGCACTCACTCTATTCGATGAATGTGCTGGCGGACTTAGTCTATCTGTGTCATCTAGTTCTGCATTTGCCCTTTGGCCTCGTCTCGTGATCCTGCCAAATGCCACTGCCATCTTCTCTTCATACTTTGCTTGCATCTCCTTCTCCTTGACCATTAGGGGACTCACACTATCATTTGCACGCTCTCACTCTTCTTGCTGGGTGTCAACTTTGTTATCCTTCTGCTCGATTTACCTGGTGGTGATCGACTCCTTGAGAGATCTTCTTGCTGTCACTTTTGTCGTTCTTTCTAGGTGAACCACTGCATTTCCTTCCTCTTGCACTCTGCACGTTCTCAATGTCTCTTTTGGATGAATGGTTTCTTGTTATTTTAGGACTATCCTGCACACTTCCTGTTACTGATCTACCATCGTTTTCTTTTATGGCATCTACCTGAGAATTACCTGCATCAACTGTGGACTTCATTGCACTTGCTTCTGGTGTTAAGGTTTCCTCAGCATTTTTCTTATCATCATCATCATCACCTTCAGTGTCTCCATCATATAGGAGTTCCTCCTCTTCAGGGAAAAGACTCTCTTCAGGCTTCTTTGTTGGTTCAGCATTACTTTCCTTGTGTAAACCTGTCCCGTCTGTGTTCTCTCTTCCATCTTCAGTATTTACAGGTGTGTTTGGCTTATCTTGTTTAAAGCACTCTTTCACACAGTTATCTTCACTTTCACTTACAAGCTTTAATTGTTTATTCTTATCTTCAGAGGGTATATTCTCACTATCATTGTTTCTTCCATTTTCTCTATCCAAAGAACTTATTTCATTTGTATCCTTCATTTCAATTGCTTTCTGGCCGTGTCTTGTCTTCCTGCCAAATGCCACTGCTAGCTTCTCCTCATATTTGGCTTGCATCTCCTTTTCCTTAACTTGCAGGGGACTGACGCTGTCATTTTCACTAATATTGTACTTTTTGTCGAGTGTTGTCAACTTCCCAATCTTTCTGTTTGATCTACCTGGTGGTGACCGACTTCTTGAGAGGTCATTCCTGCTGTCACTCTTGCCCACCTTCCTGGGTGAGGACCTGCACTGTCTTCCTCTTGCTCCTCCCTCAGTTTCTAAATCCTCTCTTTCAGCTGAATGGTTTCTAGTTACTCTTTTAGGACTATCTTCCTTATTCTGCACACTATTTTGAACTTTTCCAAGTACAGACTTTTCATCCTTTTTTATACACTGAGAATTTTCTGCATCAACTGTGGACCCCTGTTTACTTGTTTGCGGTTGAAGACATTTATTTTTGCTTAAGTGTGGGGATTTCATTTGTGATGTTTCCCCAGAATCATATCCCTTCTTGTCATCATCATCATCATCATCTTCACTGTCTTCATCATAGAGGAGTTCCTCCTCTTCAGGGAAGAGTCTTTCTTCGGTTTTTGGATTTTCTGTTCTAGATAAGATTTCATTGTGTAAATCTGTTCCTTCCGTGTTCTCTTTTCCTTTTTCCTCAGTATCCAAAGGTATGTTTGATTTATCTTGTACACATTTTTTTCCATAATCATTTTCTTTCTTAAGCTTTGCCTCTTCATTATTCTGTTCTACTTCATCAAGCTGATGAGTATCACCTTTGGAATCAATTGTATTTCCCTCACTACCTGATATACCGCACATCAAATCATTTTCAACTGGATCTTCTCTAATCCTTTCATCTGAGTTACTTTTGGTGTCTTCCTCAGCCCCATCTGCAGTCTTACATTGTATTTCCTTTCCAATACATTTATCCAGAGCCCCAGAATCTTGACTGATGTCTTTATCATTATTGACTCTCTCACAATCCTCCTCACTCATCACTTTGGCCTTCTCTGCCTTAGATTCAAGCCTCTCTACTACAGCCTCAGGAGCATCTGTCATTTCCTTTACAGATGTCCCATGCTTCACCTCTGAGGCTTTGACTTCAGCTTGAGTGCTGTCTGATGGTGGTTTAGCCTCAACCTCATCATTTTCAATGGAAGTATTTTTAGTCACTGCTTGGCATTGTATTACATCATCTCCTGAACTTTTCGTTGCAGATTCATGTAAACCTTCAGCATCTGATTCCACTTTAGCACCTTCACTTCCCTCAATCTTTTTCTGTGTCCCACTGATGCCTAACTCCTGTTCAATCTTGTTGCTGGTGCTTTCTTCAACGTCTGTTTTCGGCGTTATCTCGTTATTCTCTCGACAATCTAGTGAATTTTCATTTCCTTCACTACTACAGGCTTGCTTTCTTGCTGGTTTCTCACTACGTGGTTGTCTCTTTGGTCTGGCTTTGCTTGATTCATCTTTTGTTTCTTCTCTTTCTTTGGTATCATCCTCTTCTTTGTTTCTTTGATTGTTAGTATCAATTTTCCTTCTCGGTCTACCATATGATTTACCGCTTTCTTCTTGGTCATCAGAACCCTCAATGATTCTTCTGGAGGATTTACCATTTACTTGTGCCTCAGCTGGTGATGTTTGAACGGAATTCTTTGATTTCTCGTTTCTCTCTTTACTAAATGCTTTATTCTGCCCTTTTGTTGTATCTAATGTCCTATTTCTTGTCATAACCCCTGTTCGCTCCATTTTGTTAGACGTATCCATTCTAGTGTCTTCAATTTTGGCATTTTTGTTATCACATATTTCATCACTGGATTTCTCTTTTTCAGACACATCACTTTTTCTTCTTCTCCCTCTCCCATCCTTCTTGGTTTCTGTGTATTCACAGGGAGATGTTGCCTTCACATCAGTTTTTATCTGTTTAGGTGGGCGGCCTCTTCTCTTTTTTGTAGAAACATTTGGCTTTTCATTATTTTCTTGCAATCCATCCTTTTCTTCTTTTCTGTCTTCCAAATCAGCATCTTCTAGTCTTCCTTGAGTAATAGAGGAAAATTTGCTGCAATCTAGAGAAGAGGCTTCACTGATTTTGGGGGATCCTATGTCCTCATTTCTGCATTTTTCATCTGTCGCTATTCTCTCTTCTCTTTCACTCGTCTTTCTTTCACTTCTGCATTTTTCCTCTGTCTCTGTTTTTTCTTCTCTTTCCATGGTTTTGATTTCACTACAATGTTTTTCATTTGTCGTCTTTCTCTTCTCTCTTTCCCTGGTCCTTCTTTCACTACTGCATTTTTCCTCTGTCTCTGTTTTTTCTTCTCTTTCCATGGTTTTGACTTCATTGCTACATTTTCCATCTGTACCTATTCTATCTTCTCTCTCTCTGTTTTTCCTTTCACTATCATGTTTTTCATCTGTTGCCTTTCTTTTCTCTCTTTCGCTAGTCTTTCTTTCCCTTTTACATTTTTCATCTGTCATAGTTTTCTCTCTTTCCCCACTATTTTCTTTACTATATTTTTCATCTCCTACTGTTCCCTCTTCACCCTCCCTGCTATTTCTCTCATTACATTTTTCATCTGTCATTGTTTTTTCTTTTCTTTCCCCACTACTTCTTTCGCTATGATATTTTTTATCTGCCACTGTTCTTTCTTCTTTTTCCCCACTATTTTTTTCAATACATTTTTCATCTGCCACTTTTCTCTCTTCTCTTGCCTTTCTTTCACTGACACATTTTCCATCTGTCACTGTTCTTTCTTCTCTTTCCCCACTTTTTGTTTCATCATCCACTTTGTCTTCTGAATCCAAATTTTCAAGAACTGCTTCAGAAGTTTTAGTCTCTGACTTCAATATACTTCTATTTGTACCTGATGGTTTTGTTGTTGGTCTTCCTTCATTGATATTGTCACTTTCCACACACATTTTTGTGACATTTTCATTTCTTTTTACTTCAACATCGCATAAATGTTTGGTAACATTTTCATTTTCTGCTTCATCAACAATCTGCATTGTATTTTGTTCATCCAAATCTAACAACTCGTTTGATTTGCAGTAAGCATTTGTCTGAGACTCTGCCACTTCCTTCACACTACTTAATTCTGTATCAGTCTTATCAACACATTTTTCTTTAAGTGTCTGGTTCGACATGTGTTTTTCATCATCTGCCTTGCCTTCATCCAGACCATGAGACACTTCTTGCACTGCATGATTATTTCTATTTCCTCTCATCACATTTTGTAGATCCCTGTAGCCACTTGTTCTTTCCTGGTCTTCTGATACCGCTCCCTTCACTCTCTCTCTTATTTCTCCTACCTTGTTGTCCCCTGTATCTGTGTTCTTTGCATCATTGTTTGTGTGATTTCTTACACTTACTGATGGCATGGGTGATTTTTCTTGCTTCTTTTGGTTGGTTCGTGCAATTTTTGCCATCATTCTCTGTCCAAAGAGAGATTTTCCCAACATTCTTTCTATATCATCTGCATCTGAGTCACTATTACTATCAGAGTCTCCATAACCTCTGTTATTTGGTACAAGGTCAGAAAGACTCTTTCTTTTATCCAAAGCACTGGCACTGTTAGAAGTATTGTTTGTACCAACCACGCTTGTGGAATTATTACTCACGTGATTACTCACACCAAATGGAGGCCTTGACAATTGTTCTTGTGTCTCTTGTTTAGCCAGAGATATTTCTGTATTCCTCTTTTTCTTGGCTTGAGCCATTTTTGCATTCATTCTCTGCCCAAATAGTGATTTTCCTAACATTTCCTCTTCATATGAATTTGAGTCAAAGTTATTATCAGTAACTTCTTTGGCTTTGAGTGTGGAGGGAGCAGAAGGATCTTCATGTTGACCCACAGAATTGGCATTGTCTGATGTACTGTTCCCACTTACTATACCACTATCATTTGCAGATTCATTGTTTATGTTATTCTTCACACTATGTG